AAACTTCAAAAGAGTTATAGGGCTGCTGGATGAAGAAAATCCATCATTGAAGGATACTGGGTTTAGCAGAAACTTTATAATAAAGTTTCACCAATTATTGTAAAGATTTCATTTTAAATTACACTTAATAAATTATTATTAAATCATTCATATTTACCATGCAAGTTATATTACTTATATTAAGGGTATAGAAAAATATTTATGGCTCAATGACAAAAACAGGAGAAACTTCTTCATGTTTGAAAGTAGATGGTAACCCAGAGAATAATTTTATTCAGTATTTTTTTTTTTAAATACACAAGCTGTGTTATCACAGGGAAGGGCCATGGTTGTGCAAAGGTACAGATAAATGAACACTGAAAGTTTATCTATACAATCCAGTCTCCTCAAATCTTCTACTGTGAACAAAATAGTTGCAGGAAGTTGAAATCTTGAAGTATATGGCACATTCAGATTTAAACTCTCAGATAACCCCTTATCACTTTTGATTTACCTGTATGAACAGAAAATTTTCATATTCCTGTGGTGTCACAGTTTCAGAGTTCTCAGTGCTTGGTTGGCCAACTCTATAGCTCTAGGTCTGAGATGAGGCAGAACATTATGGCAGAAGGGCATAGTAGAAGAAAGCAGCTCAGAACATAGCAACAGGAAGCAGAGAGAACTCTGCTCCCCAGGCACAAAATATAAACCTCACAGGCACACCCCCTGTTAATTAGTTCTTCCTACCCAGTTAACATCAGTGGATTAAACTACTGATTAGGTTAAAGCCCTCATAACCTAATCATTTAGCCTCTGACCATTCTTACATTGTCTTACACATGAACTTATTGGGGAGACAACCCTTACCGACCCATAACTTATGGATGCCATGTCATTCTGTAAATAGACCCAGAGACTTGCCTAATATTAATGTAGACACACAGGGACTCTTTTAAAAGTATATTCACTTAAAGAAAGGAAAAAGGAGGAAGGAGGAGGAGTGTAACCTCTATTGGTCTTACCCGAATTCCTAGCTATCAGCTTTATTTTCCTGGCTGTAGGTTCTGCTCACCCTGATACCGTAGGAGTGAAGTTATCTCAGAAGATGATCTAGTTTGTCCTCTACCTCCATGTGATATTTCTCCCATATTATCTCCAACCACTGACAAACTTCATTAATGCTCAATTTTTAAGGATATAATGCAAGCCACAGAAAAAGAAAGTACGAGTTAAAATGGTACAAAAAAATCTGAACAGATTATGTTTTTATTTTTTAAATATACATCAAGATATTCTTTGTAGGTCTGTGTAAATGCAGTTCTAAGTTTTGTGAAATTATTATAGGCCATCCCATTGATTTAATCAGTATTCACTTTTTTAAATTATTAGAAAATTTTCATTGAAAGCTAAAAGTTAGGAGGAGTACATACTAAAGTCTTGGCTTTACAAGCAACTTGCTATAAATCTTTGGGTAGGTCATCCATTCTTTTTAGACTTTTCTCTTCTTTGGTGACAATTAAAAGGGTTAGAGTAGAATGAACTTGAATGTTCTATGCTGACATTTTGTCCTCAGTTATGGATTTTCAACTAATATTTTTCAATTAATATTATAATAAATATTAATAAAAACAGTATGCAAAATTCATTTGCATACTATTGTATCACTCACAAAGTGATTTTACATATATGACCTGTTTTAAATCTCTCCAGTGTCTGTGAATTAGGCACATTTCATAGGGGTGCAAATAAGTTCAGAGAAAGTTGTTAGTTATCCAAGATCACAGGGTTACTAATAAGGCAGGACTGGATAGACAGGTCTTCCTGCTTCCAAGTTCAACTTTTCCATCAACTGTATTCAATTACTTCAAGGTTATGGAAATAGAAGAGCATGCTTAATTGTTTTTTTTTTTTTTACATTTAGAATTAAAAAAATGTAATGTAGAAAAGAACATTGAACACTCTGTTTTTGAGTAAAGTGTATGACACATGAATTATATATCATGAAGTTTTTTTTTTTTGCATGCTTAGTTTTTAATGAATTGTAAAGTAATCTGTTATCATAAAACAAAACTCTGATTTAAAGTTGGGAGAACTAGGTTTCGTTGAAAGCTCTAACACAGATTTGGGGAATTTGTTAACATTTTCAGCCTCAGTTTCCTCATTTGTTAAAAAAAAGAAGTTTGGGCTTCATGAGTTTTGAACTTTCTTCTTGCTTAAAATTCTGGTTTTTCTATTCATTTGCTTTGACCATTTTTAGATTAATGTTGTGAAATATTAATATTAAAATGCAAACTTTTAGGGTCTATAAGAGTTTTTAAATAAACTAGATATCTAGTTTTTAGATAAACTAGATGATTATTTCCACTTGCTATTATTCATGCTTTTTGGCTACTGGCATATTAAAAACTTGGAACTGATATCATTGATCTTACTGACAGAACTCCACTTTCTAACAAACTAGTTAGTTTAAAAAATCATGGGGTGGTTCATGATTTTGGGCTGAATTGTGTATAAAATGTATTTTCTGAAAGGTCTTTTCTAGAGAAAACTTACTTGGGAACTAATGCTAGAGAACCAAAGGGTTACTGTAAAGACATTTTCAGCTCTCTTTGCAGTATTCTGAAAGAGATATATATATACACACACACACACACACATATATATGAATGATATGGAGTTTTATTGTCATGCATGCTCACAATTCAGAAAGTTTATGGTTGATAAACATCTCATTTTAAATAAAGAAAAATCACTTGAAAATAATGAAAATACAATGGTCAGTGTTTCAAGAGTTTGGGACAAAGAGGAGTTTTGAACCTGCTGCTTCTTTGGCTGCCTCCCCACTTGAGTAGAACATTGTAACTTTTGAAGCCAACATAGAATGGATCATAACTAGCTTGCTGAGCTGGTGACTTTATGCACAATTAAGCCTTGTTGAGACTTTCTTTATTTGTAATAGTGCTGTTACAGCGTGGGATGCTATTCAGCTCCAAACAACATTCCATTTAATAACGAAGCAATAGTTCAGCCACTAAATCAGGACCATCACTAACTGATAAACATCATCCTCCTTTTTTTTTTTCTTTTTGACCACGGTTGGCTCTTCTGCCTAGCAAAGTAAGTATGGCCACGGCTTGAGATGAGAAAGTTGGAGGAAGGGTCAACTGAACAATAATGATCAAAATTACATCCAGTTACAGAAATGGCACTTCCTCTTACGCTTTTCTTTTCTTTAAATTTGAAGTTATCTACTTTCCGAGCAGTAATTTAAATGCCATTGAAAACAAGACTATACAAGGCCCTTGGTTTGATCCCTAGTACAAAAAACAAGCAAACAAAACAAAACAACAATAAAAACTGGACAAACAAAACAAAACAAAACAAAACACAGCATTAACTACCACATCTCTTAGACACTAAGGAGATCAAAACCCAGAAGGCCATGTAAAATATATACACCAAAAAGATATGAACGAGAATATTAATAGTATTTTTTTTGCAATAATCAAAAGTAAAAACAGTTAAATGTCCATCAAGAATAGAATAAATAAATGAACTCTAGTATATTTATTTACTAAAAACTCAAGCTAGAAAAAAAGAAAGAAACTTCATAGAAACCACACATAAAAGCCCACAAAAATAAAGGTAAACAAATCATTGATTAGAAAGGCAGAACCAAACCAAAACTAAAAACTCAGATATAACTAGCTTCTGAACACTAGTAAATTATCAAGTTTTTGATGTGATTGGTGAGTACACAAATGCATTCACTTTTCGTCAAACTCTACATATTTTGTGCCATTTTCTGAATAAATTTTACACATTAATAAAAAAATTATTTAGAAATTATGTTAGAAATGAGAAACTGCCACGGTTAAACAGGACTTGAGTGCCTTAATAGCCATCAATTCAATTAAGACTCATCAGCAAGTATGAAAGGGTCAGTATTAATATTATTAACTTATTAATACATTAACTTATTATTTTAATTCAGTTTTTGTTTTAGAGCAGATTTAGGTTTACAGAAAAGTTGCAGTGACAGAGTGTTCCCATATACTGCTCATCCACTTTCTCCTATTGTTAAGGAGGTAGAATGCCCTTCTCAAAACACCATATCGGAGTGCATGTTATCGACTTACTACTGATTGTCTTAACCTTTGTCTGATCAAGGTTATGTTTATCAGGCTCCTGAAATAAAACTATTTTTCTCTCCTTTCCAATATTGAATTTTTAGAAAGAAAGTCATTCAGTGCTGGTCACACTCAAGGATGAGGGTTATGGATTAAACTTCAATTCCTTTTTAAAAATTTCATTTTCGTAAACAATTTACACTACATATCATATATTGGGTCAGCTCATTTACATAATTTATAAGTAAATATCCTTACTATTTTGCCTTTTTACAAGCAATTAGACAGCAAATAATGTGTGATTCAACATATTGTTACAAACTTTCCATTTTAACGGAAACTTTGTAACAAGATAAATATATCCAAGCTAAAGAAAGGGTCATACTGTAACTAATGAAAATGACTAAAAGAGAAGGTGAGAGCATCTTCTTTATCAGGGGTAATGGTTATGGGCTAATCTATGTTAAGATGGAAATGGGCCTGCATTAAGGATTTGAATCTGGGGCTGAAGAGGTTTGGTGAATTATGCCTTTAGAACACTTATGATGCATAGTCTACTTTTCCTCTGTGGACGGGTCTCACGCATAGCTATGCATCACCTTAGCCACCAACTCTGGGTTGAAGAAGCCCTAGCAGAACTTCTACACGGGCTGTTATTTGGAAGGCATTACTCCACCAGAGGATTTGTAGCCAGCGTACCTGGACCATTTCTACGGCACTAGTACGCTAGGAAGCCAGCAAGAAGCTCCTCCCAGCGGCGTAGAAGAGGGGGTTGCGGAAGTCTGCGAGCCCCTCCCGCCCGAGCTGCGCTCGCCCGGCCCCCAAGCCCCGCCCCACTTCGTCTCTGGGCCCCGCCCAGAGCCCCGCTCCTCCTCCAGCCCTGCCCCTCCCCGGCCTCCCTGTCTTCCTTCCGGGTCGCGCTGGGCCGGGCTTGCCGCGGTAGTGCCGCAGCGCGAGAGTCTGGGAGCGGCCTCGCGCCCAGGCCTTCCCGCGCCTCCTGGTCCAGGGTGAAGCCCTCGGCGCGTGCCACTCCCGGACCCTGCAGGGTACGGCCCTTCCTTTACTTCTCCCTCATGCGGGTCTCCGTCTTCCTTCGTCGCTGGGGCGGGGCCGGGCGGCGAGCTGTTTGGAGGGAGCGTGGGCGTGAGGCTGAGGCCCCCACCACTCGCGCCTCCGCCTCCTGCTGTGCGGCGTTTGTGGGGCTTGCTGGGACCTTTGAACTCTGCTTAGGTGCCAAGGGCGCAGCTTCCCTGCACCAGTGTCCCTGCAGGGCTTGAGTCGTAGCACTACGCAGAGTTGTTGACACCGGGGAGTCTGCGGGCTACCCACACCTGCCGCTCCTTCCTGACCTGGTCTTCAGCCTGAGCCACTTGCCTGCTGAAGAAAACTTGTTGCTGGTGTACCTGCTGCCATTATTTCCCTGTGACATCTGATGGTTTCTGCCCATGCCTTTCTTCTGGACTGCCACAAGATGACTGGTTGCAACCTCGTTTCCGAGTTTGGGGGTGCTCCTAGAATCTGATGATGACCATCCACTTGTCCTTGTGCACATGTTTGCAGTGTGGGTCGTTTTGTATTTCCTTGGCCCAAAAGCTCATTGCCACAAAGACTCCCCCCCACCCCCAAGTTACTTGGAAAGAAGTTAAGATGATATAAACTTGTGGCCAGGTAGTTGCATTGATAGTTGATACTGTGTCTGACTTTGTGCCCTGGAGGTCTCACTACTTCACCAGGTGTGGGTTTTTTGCTTGTGTCTGTCTCAAGATACAAGCTGACTTTTCTGCTTTCTGCATTCAGTCTTAGGTTTCTTAAGTTCAGAATATGGGTACCTTTTTCTCGTCAAACTCACCTCATGCTGTTGGTTGAATACAGGGGCCTTTTTCCAGTTACCTCAAGGCACCTTTATCAGATATTAAGTTCTTGAGGGAAAGTAAAGTTTTCTCTGTAGTGGCAGTGTGCATCACCCCATAGTAGGCACTGAATTGGATTGAATTGGATTCATTTAATACTTTCAATACCAACTTTTACTTGTCACCTGCTGTCGCAAATTTTGGGTTTTCTGAACCCTGCATTTTCATATCCTTCCTTTTGTTACTGACTTGAAAATCAGAGAGTTCAGCTGAGTATAAGGTGGTTAATTTCTTTTGCTTATGCCATGATACAGTTAAAAAAAAAAAAAAAAAAAAACAATGTTAACAGATTATCTTTCACTTCCGTGTGTGTGTGTGGTCATCTAACAAAAACTGCCCTTTCTTTTTCTGTGTTAGTATCATTGTCTTACTCTCATAATTTTGGTGTAGTGTACAATTGCCATTTAACTTCATGAATTTAACTTTGGTGTCCTCTTAGGCCTCTTATCATCTAAATTTATATGAATATCCTCTTCTTTTTTCTTCTAGTACTCTTGTTGATTTTATTCATATATAAGGTAGGAAGCAAGACTACACCTTTTTTGTTGCTGTTAACCAGTGATGACAACATCATTTGTTGAATTCTCTTTTTCCCTTCTGATAAGTACTCTGTATATATCGCTAACTCCTGTGTATTCTTGGGACTCTTTCTGAACTGTTCAGCAGTGATTCTGACTTTCTGTGATGATGCCACACTACTCTTGTTACTCTAACTTTGCAATATGTTCTAATTTCTAGTAATTTGAAAAATGTATATTGTACACATTCCTAAATATTTTGGGAATGAACTCATTTAGTTGGGACAAGTTAAGTCCCCTTCTTTACATCTTATGCCCCCTAAGTTTCTTGCCTATGTTGGAATTTAATATTTTTGGTTTGCCTTTACCACAATCAGTTGAATTAGTAATGCTTGTTAAACAAATCCCTTCTGTTGCTCTCTCAGTATTCACTATGTAGAGTTGCTCCCTAGAGTTGTACATAAGAGAAGCAGCCTGATTAAAAATGTGCAAATCTTTTGACTTTGCTTTTTTGTCTTTAGCACCTGTGATATGTCTCTTTGTCAGTTACAAAACAGGACATTCTATACCTGTTTTCAGTATCACTTCTATAAGTGATCCCTCAGCCTTGTGTCCATTTTTATATTACCATCTCAACTGGATATCCCAAAATAATACATTTTCAAGTGTTGCTTATTAATAAATACTTAAAAACTCTATTAGGTCATAAATAAATATATATGTTCTCTTTAAAAATTAAGCAGTACATAAATAGCCAAAGGAAAATGTGATAGTGTTCTGTGCCCACCTGTCCAATAACCGTGTTCCACAAAAGTCATCACTGTTTAATAATTTATTCTTACATTCCAGATTTTAAAATGAGTATAATCTACATTTGTTTCATAGTTGACAGTCTATTCTGTGTAATTTTTCTGCAAGTTTTAGTTAGTCATAGTTGAGGAACATCTTTTTGTGTCAGTTCATGTAACATATTGTCCTTTTTTTGTGATACTGTAGGTTAAACTCAGGAATGCTCTACATCTGAGCTACATTCATAGGTCTTTAAAATTTTTTTTTTTTTTTCCAGACAGGATCTTGCTAAGTTGCCCAGGTTGGCCTCAAGCTTGTGATTCTCCTGCCTTACCTTCCTGAGTAGTTGGGATTGTAGGCATGTGCCACCATGCTTGGTTCAACGATATCTTGTTCTCTAAAAAAGTCTTTTTGGCATTTAATTGTAGGAATAATCCAAAATTTATTGAACCAATCCTCTGTTGATATTTAGACTAGTATAAATTTATATTGTGTTTATAATATAAACAAAATTACAGGATCATTTTGTATGTGCAGTAGTTTCCCCTTCAGTTTTCTTTTCTTTTTTTTTTTTAAATATTTTTATTTTTTAGTTCTCGGCGGACACAACATCTTTGTTTGTATGTGGTATGGAGGATTGAACCCGGGCTGCATGCATGCCAGGCGAGCGCGCTACCGCTTGAGCCACATCCCCAGCCCCAGTTTTATTTTCTAATGGTTTCAGTTACCTACAGTCCAGCCTTAGTCAGAAATTATTAAATGGAAAATTCTAGAACTAAACAATTCATAAGTTTTAAATTGTACACTATTCTAAGTAGCATGATGAACTCTTATGCTTACTCCATGAATCATATCTTTGTCCAGCACATCCTTGCTGTATCCACCATCCACTTGTTAGTCACTTGGTAGCATCATGATTATTAGATCAACTGCATAGTTTTGCCATTCTTGTGTTCAAGTAACCCTTTTATGTATGTATGTATATATGTATGTGTGTTGCTAATGGCTCCAAAACTCAGTAGTAGTGATGCTGGGAATTCAGATATGCCAAGAGAAGGTATCAAGTGCTTCCTTTAAGTGAAAAGGTCAAAATTTGTCATAGATATGTGTACATGAGAAGAACAAGTATATACATGTGTTCCCTGCTATTTGTGGTTTCAGGCATCCACTGAGATCTTGAAACTTATTCCTTTAGGTGAGGGAACTACAGTATATGTTTGCACATTCATTTTCTTTAGTGCAAATACTTAAATTGCTGGGTCAAAGACTATATATATTTTTAAAATCTCAGAGATTCTGCCATAGTGCTCTTCAAAAAGGTTGTTAAGAGTAGACATGTACAGTTTATAAAAATGCTCCTTTTGCCATCATATATCATTGCTAAGAATGGCCAAGAGTCTGCAATTGTATCCAGCTTGCAAGCTAAGAGTTTGCTGGCAGAAGACATGAGTCTTCTGGGTCAGAGACAAAGAACACAGCAGTAATGGCAGCCAGAGCATATCATCTTGTGCTGAGTCCTGGTGCCCCAGTTTCTACAGGATGATGTGACAAAGGCCAGATAACACTAGCACATGCCGCAGGTTTCCTCCTGAGTTTAGAGAATCTGAATTTTTCATAGTGGAGTACAAGTAAACATGCCTGATTTTTGCCTTAGAGGGAAACATCATTTTTCTGTATAGTAAACTTACCCACTGCTCAAGAGGAAGACCTCTTTTTATATCCCAAGGCTGTTTGCTATATAAATGGTATAGAAAAGATAATCTGAAATTAAGATGATCAGTGCCTCTGTTAAGACATGTAGAAATTGATATTTCTGTAAAGTATTATCTCATATAACAGTTACTGCTGAGAGCCACGGCTGAGTCTGTATGGTGCCTGGCATTGTAGTTTAGGATTTTGATTTCTAAGTGGCTGGATTGCTTTGTTAACATAAATTTGACACATAGTTGGGCTGTTAGCCATCCCTTGAGGGAGTACTTTCCATTCATATCTCTGATCAGGACCTTCATGATTCAGTGCAGGGATAGTAATGCAAAATGTGGACTATCCTCAGGATGAATTGGAATTGAAAAAAAACAATCTTTAATATCTATAGCTAAAACGTACCAGGTTTTTGGCAAAGCAGACAATTGAGGAATCCCCGATTGAGCAGGTCCCATAATAACCATCTCATTATTAATGGCTCTTAAATCTTGCAATAATCTCCATTTACCAGATTTCTTTTTAATGACAAAAATGGGAGTATTGTAAGGAGATACGGAAGGTTGTATATGTCCCTCCGCTAATTGTTGCTTGACCAGGTCATGGGCTGCTTGTATCTTTTCTTTAGTCAGGGGCCACTGAGGAACCCATACTGGTCTATCTGATTTCCAAGTAATTTTTATTGCCTCAGTGACCCCTTCTGAAAACCCAGTCCATGTCTATTTATTCCCTGATCTATTTGAATGGGTGCTGCTATGCCTTGTTCTCCTAATCTTTTTTCTTTCCTGAAACCTTGTCTAGCCCTAATAGTGGGCGCATTTGGATTGATGTTATTTGTTAATGTCAAACCTAATTGATCTAGGACATCTCGTCCCCATAAATTTATAGGAAGATGATCCAATACATATGGCTGTATAGTTCCTTCGCATCCTTCAGGATCCTTCCAATCTAATACCATTGCACTTCTATGGGGATTAGTTGCCACTCCTAGGCCTCGAAGCGTTTGAGTGGCTTGTTGTAGCGGCCAATGTTGTGGCCATTCTTGACGAGATATGATGCTAAGGTCTGCACCTGTATCCAGTAGCCCATTAAATTCATGTCCTTGAATATTTAGTTTTAGCATGGGGC